ATGATTGTCGAAGTGGCCAATCTTTCTTGATGTAGTGGGAATCTCTTGCACGACCATCCCATTCGCAGAGAAAACAGCAGTACTTCGTTTATCCAGTCTGCAGACCTAGCAAGAGAGCAACAACCTTCAAATCGCCACAAAGCTGCCACTGACGTTGGTCAGAGTTTATGCACCTCAAAAGTTGTTTCATGTTGTCATAGGTTTCCTTCATATGGACTGCATGACCAACTGGAATTGATGGCAAAACATTGCCATTATGCAGTAAAACAGCTTTAAGACTTGTCTTGGATGAATCAATGAACAGTCTCCACTCATCTGGATCGTGAACGATGTTGAGGGCTGCCATCACACCATCGATGTTGTTGCAGGCTACAAGATCACCTTCCACGAAGAAGAATGGGATAAGACCCTTTTGACGGTCACGGAACATGAAAACCCTAACATCACCTGCCAGGAGATTCCACTGCTGTAGTCTGGAGCCCAACAGCTCTGCCTTACTCTTGGGTAGTTCCAAATCCCTGACAAGGTCATTCAGTTCACCTTGTGTATGAGGTGTGGTTCAGAGGAGGAGGATGGGAGAAAATGTGGGTCCTGTGACATTGATGGTTCAGGACCAGAAGTTTCATCCTCTTCCTCATCTGACTCAAGTGAGAGTGATTCTGGTGCATCAGGAACCGGCAGTCCTTCTCCGTGGGGTACTGGGCATATAGCTGATGGAATGTTTGGATAATGCACAGTCCACTTTTTCTTCTTTGACACACCTTTCCCAACTGGAGGCACCATGCAGAAGTAACAATTGCTGGTATGATCTGCTGGCTCTCTCCAAATCATTGGCACTGCAAAAGGCATAGATTTCCTTTTCCTGTTTAACCACTGGCGAAGATTTGTTGCACAAGTGTTGCAGCATATGTGTAGGGCCCACCTCTTGTCCTGATCTCCAATTTTGCAGCCAAAATAAAGGTGATAAGCTTTCTTAACCATAATGGTTATACTGTGCTTTTGTGATGCAAAAGTCACTTCACCACAAACATAGCAGAAGTTATCTGCACTGTTCACACAAGTACGAGGCATCTCTGGTCACTTTGGCTAAACAGAAATGTGTCCCTTTGCAAAATCAAACACTGACAAATAAGAGAGCACGACACTGTATGATTTCTACAGTTGATCTAGGACAATTTGTTCAGCAGAGTGATGTAAGCTTCGTTATGATTGCATCATCCATGACTTCTAGGAATAACATGATGCAATTCATATCATGTATGACGCAATACCAGCTTCAGATTGCATCATTCATTGTTTTGCCTAAAAAGCAAGTACTGTCCAAACCCAGTCATAGATTTATTCATAGATCCAGTCAAAGATGTATTTTAGTCATGTCTGGTTTAAATTGAGATCCCTTCCCTTTATAACTCACTTATCCTCCGCCATTCCCAAGTCAAGGGTCGTATATACTGACCCAATAGCATAGCTTGAAAACTAGAGCCAATCAACAATTTTAAGCATCATTTTCGTTCTCAGTGACCCAGAATTAGTAAAGTTTGACTACGTTTATTTCAGAAGCATTTTGGCTGTAGAGCAGTGTACTCACACTTCTGTCTGAAATATTTTTACCTCTTACAAGTGACACTTAAAGCAGAGATTAAAGAATTTTTTTTTTAACTTTGTGTATAAAAAGCCTCTGCTAAAGTGCTTTGCTGTACTGATATCTGTGCAAGGGAAACTTAAGTTTACTGAATTAGGGTCATTCTCAGATGCATCACATCCACTAGCAGGAAGCCCTGCACCAATTAGGACTCCCATCAGCTTGTATGGGGCACTGTAGCAATGTAGAGGTTCAGGTTAGTGGATTCTGATACAGGATTGGAGGCTGTTCGTCCATTGTCCCTGCTGCTTGTTTGGGTTTTTCACACAGTGGGGTGGGGGGGGGGGAGAACTCCAAAAAGCACCAGGAGACTTAGTGGTAGGTATAAGAAAATGAGAAATGTAATTTCAGTTGGTTCTAGTTTATTAGATTTCAACCTAAGGTGCCCCCTGAGAAGTAAAATCAGTTACCCATTTGGGGCCTGATACTGCAACCCTTTCTTGGTGTAAGTTGTCCTTACTCACACAAGAAGTCTCACTAAGTTCAAGAAGATGGTTGATTTCAATAGGACCATACGTCTGAGTAAGATGTTGCAGGATCTCTTGTTTTTTTGGTAGCAATTACTGATATTCATTTCACAGTTTAACAAAGGCTGTTTCAACTTGTCTAGGAGTGAAGCATTTCAAGTTTAGCTCCAGAGTAGATTCAAAATAGATTTATGAGGGAGAGACTATAAAAGCACTATACAGGACAATGCTGATTACCTAGACTTATTCACAGCTCAATTATCCAAAATTTGGGTGGAGATTTCCAGGGAATTTTTCCAAAACTTTACATTCATGAGGGTGGGGAAGGACCCTCAGAGTAGCACAAAGAGTCAAACCGTAGTATTTGTTTCCTTAATTTAAATTCTAGTTTAATATCTCAAGTTCAGGGGGGAAAAAATCTAGAGATGCGTTTGCTTGCAGCTAGAGCTGAGAATATAATGGTGATTTTTGCAGATGCACAACGAAGTAATTCATTATAAAATCCCGCTTTGAGACTGAAAGCATTCTTTACTTGACAGAAAACCATGGGCCTTCTAAGTATCTGTTAGTAATGAACTTTGAACAAAAGAAGTTTGGAAGTGGCTGTATAGTGAAGGAATGCTGTTGTAGATGGTTTACTTTGTTAACAATGTTACACCAGTGGAAAATCAGGTGGCAGTGACTTTTCAAATGTCATGTAAAAATGGATGACATTTGTATTCTTTCAAAACTTTGACTCTCTCTCCTAATATTTATTTTTTTGGGGGATGGGGAGGGAGAGAAGGTAGTGGAGAATTATCCCAAGATCTGGGTATCTGTTCAACAATTAAAATACAAAATGTATA